CACATGCCTTCGGTCGTTTCGACCTCGGCTTTCGTCATTGTCCTCTCGTTGGTCAGCTTGACCACGTGGACGTTCCTCGGGGACCCGATTCCCGAGTCGCTCCTCATCGCCAATGGCGACGGAGTCCTGCTCTAATCGAGCAAGCCCTTGCGGGGCTGATGAGCGCACTGGCTCCCGGGTCGACGAAGGGTTTTCAGTCGTGCTGCTCGTACCCTTCGCCTTCGCACGAGTAATCCTCGTTGCCATCCTAATATAGAGTAGTGAGTTCGCAAATATAGAATCGACGACGTACCTGGGAATCCTTGGGTGATCAAGCCAAGGGGTATCCGACGATGGTGTCGACGACGAAGAGCGGGTTAGAGTGGTTGTAGTCGAGTAGAGTAGTGTCGAGCGTCGATGTCAAAAATATGTGACGGGGCGCTGAGATAAGCGAGTCCCGGCACACGAGAGCCTCAAAGACAGAGTAAGACGATGTATTCAAGACTGACTACTCTACGATCTACCTACGTCCTTATATACTGTATTGGTTATCTTATCAGTTATCTGGTGTAGATACTTATGTAATCCTAATCCGTTCCACAATCACGTGTGTATGAAGTAACGGAAGCTTGCACTGTGCAGCAACCACTCGCAACTTACCACACACGCTGTCACCACAAGGTGCGTTCTTGTCTCTCATTCTTTCTCTGAAGCAAAGGATCTAGCAAACACTGATATTTGAGGGTAAGATGTTGAATAGGTTTGCATGCGTTTCGTGTGGCGAAGAGGGTGGTTTCGGCGACAAATACCCCACAATCCCCTGCCCGCAACAGCAAAAATTCGGTTCTTATTGCCCCCCCATGCATCAAATTTGAAGCCCTGAATCATCAGATCGCCGAAACGCGCGCATTTCTGGCGCATTTGGAAGCACATCGTGCCGCTTTACTGCGTAACATCAACGCGTCTCACGACCCTTTCACGGCCCTCGTCCCGACCGAGATCGCATCCCAAATCTTCACTCTCTGCGTTGAGGATCTAGAAGACGCATTCGAAAACCGTACCCCACTGGCTCCACCTGCCGTGTCGAGGCGCTGGCGGGCGATAGCGCAGTCGACGGCGTCATTGTGGACATGCGTGCACCTTAAGCTCGACTCAGTTCGCTCCCATTTGTCATATGAGACAATGCTTCGCCAGTGGATTTGAGGACGTTCCGTTATTCGAAAGTCCGAGCCGTCCGAGCCGTCTGAGCCGTCCGAGTCGTCTGAGTCGTCCGAGTCATATTAGTCACCATTACATAATACACACAGTCACGCCAACAGCTTGGCAAGGCCTTTCTGTTACCTGTAAGTCTAATCAATAGACTTTCGTAGCATGCATCGACACTACATTGGATGTTATCTATTTTGTTTTTGCTCTATTCAGGCGATTATTAATTCAAAATTGTTGAATTGGCCACTATCCAACGACAAGAGGAAAAGGTAGGCTGTATGTACGACCTGCTCGTTGTGTCTACATAACGAGCCAAGAGGGACAAATGGGCATCAACATGCGCATAGGCGCGGCTGACAGGAGTTGAGTCCTTGAGGTAACCTTCGTCAGATGCCCCGCAAGGGGCCTACAGAGCAAGAAAGTGGTCGTCGGGCTCTAATTGACTGGAGAAAGGCTGAGCGGGCGAGATCGACTGCGGCACATGAGGAGGTTACAGGCAGAGGCGATGTGATGAGGCCTCGCGGACGACCGAATCTCGGGCTGGAGTTTGAGCATGCGAGGGCGGCGGGGCGGAAAGGGGCGAGAAATTCGCTCCATGCTCCACCCCGCCGTCGGATTCGACGTACGTCAACTCCTCTGTGTCATCTACCTCCAACACTCCTCTCCTCTCCTCTCTGTTCGCCTGCGCCCTTCCCCTCGCTCATCTGAAGACGAGGATGAGGATGAGGATGGATGAAACGAAAAGCTTCGAGGTAAAGGACTTTCTTCGTGTCGGTGCTCGTTCATGAAACGGAGTCGGGGCGGAAGAACGCAAAAAGAGAAGAAAAGGAGCACAATAACGATAACGAGATGGAAGACGAGAATGACGAAGGCGAAGGAAGGGTTCATCCGAAGTCTTGAGCAAAAAGAGATGCTGATGGATAGAGAGATGGACAGGACAAGGTCGCCACGTGCAACTGCCAGGAAATCGAGCACGAAAATGAGAGTTGGGGTGTGGAGATGTAGATTGCGCTAGGGTGGGGCGAGGTAGGGGTGTTAGAGGAGTGCGTGAGGGATAGAGGATAGGCGGAAGGAGCGGGCGGCAGCCACGGGGAAAGAAAGAAGAAAGAAAAAGAGGTTCGAGCGAACGCGTATCTATAGGGTAGATGAGGGGGGGGGGTGAACAGACCCAAAGGTGACAACGTTCGTGAAGATGCATATTACTCATACGAAGAACGAAGAACGAAGGATAATGCCAAAGACGAAATCTAGTGATGATTGATCATGAGAGAAAGTTCACATAAGCACCATTCGCACCGACCTCAGGCCCAGGCTCCAGGTAGGGTATTTCCTCGCCTCTCCTGTGCTCTGGGGGTAGTCCGCGGTGAATCCCGCCGCACAAGCCCTCCCACCATCAGTGCGAGCACCGAACGCCCGCCGCCGGATCCGGAAGTTAGTGGTGGTGTTGATGTTGATGTTGAGGCCTGAGGGCTGACGAGGACGGTTCGAGGATGGGGCAGTTGTCGTTGTCGTTGCTGTTGGAAGTTGGGGTTCGGGACCGGGTGGGTGAGGGAGGGAGGGAGGGAGACAAGCATGGGAAGATGGGCGGAGGATGCATGATGAAAGGAGGGAGGGAGCAGGGAGGACGGGAGCAGGGAGGAGAGGGATAGGGATGAGAGAAGATGGGATAGAGGGCACTGGCAAGGACGGAGGAAGGACGAGAGCAGGAAAGACGAGATGAGGCAGCCAGGGAGACAAGAGTTCAGACGGGTGTGGGCGGGCGCACGTTGGGCTTCGTGGTCTGGGTGGCATTGGGCTGGGGGAAAGGACGTTAGCGAGGTGCGAGAGGAGAAGGATGAACGAAAATGGATGGGTGAGAACGGCGACACGGAAACGACGAATTCTAAGATCATTGCTGCAGCCAGTGGAGAAGTGGAGAGGAGGAAAGACGCACACTACGCCTGGTGCTTTCGTCATGGCCTGGCGAGGAGGCCATAATTAGGCTGTTGGTCCCGGTGAGTCAGAGTCGAATATTGAATGTTAGAGCAGACTCGGAGTGTTGACGTAGGCATCCATGCGCGGATCGTACTCGGATATCGCTGGATCTCCCGTTGTCGTCCATGGCTAGTCGTCGTGCCAAAGCCCCTTCAGCCATCGTGCGCTGTATCCCGGAGTGGCGTGCAGACTCGGTCCTGGGTCCTGTTTCGTGTGGGATGGGCATTGATGCGTGTCGATAGAATACGGTTTGTGTCGGTATTGGGTAGAACGGGGTGGGATGGTCGAGCTGTGCTGTTCCTGCACTTGGGTTAGGGTCCGGATGCGGTCCGCTTCTCCCGTCTTCTTTTCCTTTTCGCCCCTCTCTTCCAGCTTCTCGTCAGCTGTGTTCTACTACCCGTCTATCCGCGTCTTCCCCCACGCTATGTGTGTTTCCTCTCCTCCCCTATTCATCCCGCTATCCTACTGTAATCCAAGGAACTGCAGTCCGTCTACCGCTCGCTAACCCTAAGCAATGTCTATAACCCCGCGATGGTATCCTACCCGATTCCCTCGCAGTCGCAACCCTCTCCCGCCTGACTGACACCTTCCGCTTAGGCCGAACGAAGAAGGTATCTAGGTCATGTTTCGCGCAGGGATAAGAACCACGGTTGCTTCTGTTGCATCCCTAGTCCCTCTTGCGCTTGCTGTGTTGACCTCGATACCTTCTTCCTTCCGTCCTCTCTGGGCATCACCTCCACATGATGTTCATTGCTCTGTCGTCCAGTAAATCATCACAATGATCTTTAACACCTCTGCTCAGGACAGTCCTCTGAAGGCCCACTCGATTCGTTAGGGGACATGGTGGGGTTTGTACCGCTACCGTGCCTTTTCCTGCGAATCTTGCATGTTCGGCACAAGCACCGTCTTGAGCGTCGCCGATTCAGGACTGATCTTTGCCGTCCTGGCCGTCCTGTCGATCCATCGCCCTCAGACTCCGCATGTAAATGCCTAGGACACATTAAAGCATGTCTATGTGTCGACGATCAGACCTGCTATCCACATATGCATATACTAGCCGTTCTCTTCTTTCGCACCAAGACACATTTACGTGGGACAGCAAATACACTATCTCCGAATCGAGCTGCGGTACATAGTGGATCGAACGAAGATCCCTTCGCCGAGCGAGTAAATTACCGTCCGTGGGCTCGAACGGAGGGCGGGAAGAGTCTTCTGGGTGAACGTTGGATGCTTGTCAATGCGAAGGTTCTGACGCGTTCCTTCGCCTCCTGTGCAACCTGCAACCTATCAACCTCTTATTTAATATTAACGACTCCCAAAACTTGGTGTCGATAGGGAAATGGTCTGCGCCAGAATATCTGCTTGAATGTCTACGTGACATTTCCCGACTATTACTTTGGCGTCTCGTCTCGTGTAAGTCCAGGCTGCGAATTGCGAACTGCGACATTACATGACGAGCGGCTAAGGTCTCTCTGGGTCCTGTTTAGTGGCCTATCGAAGCGTGTGTTCGCGCGCCAGAAGAGAATAGCTGGCATTCAGGGGCCCATGGGCCAACAGGACGGTGGAAAGAGCGAGTAGAGGAAGGGATATGGAGTTCAAGCACGGCAAGCGATCAATATTTCAATCCTGAATCGGAGACGCTGAAGACGGTGCTCGGCTTTGTGAAGACGGTTTATTCGCGGAGAAAGCAACAAATGCTCCCGCTTTTCCAAGCGAATCGTAGTAGGAATGAGGCCGTCCTGAGCGGGCATATTAAGGGTCGATACGGTGATGGATGATGTCTTCTTGTACGGGGATAGAAGGCGCAGAGGCACGAATGGAAGGAAGAAGGTACTGGATTGTGAAACGATGGAACGCGCGAGAGGGACTTGCGATGTAACAGAGGCAACCGCGGTTCTTATCCCTGCGCGGCAGATGCCCAAGTTCCTTTCTTCGTTGAGCCGCATTGGATATATCACCGGCACGGGAGGAGACCATCGCGAGATGATGGACACGCCTTGCGTATGTGAGGAATGCTCACAGGCGAAGTGTTATATAATTCACCGAGGGAACATATCAAGCAAAGATAGACTTGAGCGGACGATGAGGCAGCTCGTGGGGGTGTCCCTTTCTTCAAAAGAGGAGCGATGGAATACCACGTTGCACATACACGCTGGAAGACTGAGAAAAGCATACGGCTCATCGGATCTTCGCCTACGTGAGTTGTTCGAAACTCCATCGCCCCTACTTCGAATCGGAAGGGTGCAACTTAGGGAGGGGAGTTGAGAGAGGACACCAGGTGTCACAGGTAGAGAGAGAGAGCAAGTGTGCCCGCATCCGATGTCGGAAAGATGGAGGAAACAACAAAGAGTAAAGAGAGGAGGGAAGGTTCGGTATCCACAGCGCCTAAACGAGAGATGGAGAGCGATGTCGCTTTTTCATGTAGATGAGTGGCTCCCCCATTCTTATCACTTGCCGTCAACGCACATCGGCGGACATATGCGTGAAATCCCACAACATCGCGGGATGCGCGAAGACCGTGATGGATGAGGGAGTCGTTCATCTTCTGTACGAGAAGATCAGGAAAGTAGGATAAGAAAGTGGAACAAGCCAGGACGTACTGCAGTTGTAACTAACAAATCGTTCCTCCGAGCCACCGATCGAGACGATGGAGTGTGTCTCGCCGATCTTGCGAGATCCGAGCAATTTTCCTGGATGGAGGCAAGATGGAACTTGTGCGAATTATCGCGGTGGGTCGAATAGGGAAAGAAAGGAGAGAAAGATCGGGTCAGGACGCACTGAGAATGGACTGTGGAGGTGGATGAGGTGGGTTGGTACAGTACGAAGCGAAAACGAGGTGTGCTCGAATTCATGTCCCAGTTCACAGGGAAATCCCGCGGATAAGATGATGAGATAAAAGATATATTTGCAGTCCTGATCTGCGGTATCTACGGTCCGACACGGGAGAGATGCAAAAGGCTTTTCCGAGAGTGTACTCCCTAAGGCGCAACTGAATCGTCGGACGGCCAAAGTATGGTGTCTCACGCAGTTTTCTGAACGCAGGGCGAAGAGAGATAGATGGACATAGCCAAAACCCGTTATAGAGTGCACAGAGACCTCGTTGGATTCCTACCATGGCTCGTTTGGGAGAAGTTGTATTTTGTAGTTCTATCGAAACGTGTTTGAGAGAGGACAGAGGGTGGGGTACCAGTGGCAGGTATGATTATCACGAACCGTAGGGTATGCATTCGAAGTAATCGACGCTCGGAGACGCTCAGGACGGTCTAGGAAAATTTCTAGAGACGAAAGAGCCGCCGGAAAAGATGTGGTAGCGTGATATTAGCGCCACGTTTCCAGACGGATCAAGTCGAATTTCCTGAGACCGTCCTGGACAGAGTCGTGCAGGATCATTGTGACGATGTGTGGTACAAGACGAGGATAAAAGACGCCGAGGTGACTTCCGGGGCGAATGGTAGGAAGAAGGTACTGTCGCGAATCATCCACCGGACGCTCAAGAGAGACTCGCATTGCAGTAGCAGAAGCAAACGCGGTCCTCATCCTAGCGCGAAGGATGCCGTAGTTCCCTTCTTCGTTCGTCCGTGACTCTGGAAGATATCACCGGGGCAGGAGACGATCCAATTTCGAAATTGAACCTTGTAGGATATGCGAGAAACAGGCTACGACAGGGCGCAGATATAAGATAAACACCAATAGAGGAAGATTGATATCAGAGAGATAAGGATGGGGGAAAGCTCGCGAGGAAGCCCTTTACGAAAGAGGAGCGATGTTGTTCCAGGCTCCATCGCTCCTGATTCGACTCGAGAGTATAAGGAACACCCTTGAAGAGCTAGGATGACTGAAACGGACTAGAGTGGTGCATAATTTTCGATAGCACCACGGCGAAACATGGGCGCAAAAAGACGAAGAGAGCGAAAGATGGCTGGGTTCATGAGTACACCTTGCCTTGAGGGGCGGGTTTGGTCCTTCGCGGAGATGAAGGGCTTGGAATGGCAACACTCAGTGATCGCACAGCATCGCGCACGGGCACAGACGGCGTCGATGGAATGATGGTGCACGAGGATATAGTGCCTGACTCAGAAGCCCCTCATCATTCGGATGGATGAAGCTCGAGGTAGACGGACCACTTGACGATCAAAGATAATCGTAGGATAGTCTCTCTCTCACGAGACGGACGTAGCCCACTTCTGGAGTGGAGCATGGAGTCATGACATGGGCAGGCTTTGTCAAGAATGGGGATGCCCACGCGATAGAGGCGAGAAACCTGAGAACTCTCGTTCTTTGAGGATGCGAATGGGCGAAACGGTGGTAAGAGAGCGAAAGAAAGTATGGCGATAGTGCCATGACCACATCAGAGGAGAGATACTGAGCAGAATGGACAGGTATACGCTGGAGCAGAGCGTTGCGAAGGAGAGAAGACGAGGTGCCAGGGCGGGTCGACGAAACTGGGAGTGTGGATCGATCTCAACCTTCCGCGCAGAGTAGACGAGGAGCTCCACTTCACCCACTGGATTGGGAAAATCGCACGACGATGGTCAGGCAACTGTGCTCATACTCTAAGTGTAGGTTCACCCTCGACGCCCGAGAACACCATGGTAAAGGGAGCTCGTCGTATCGCACGTGCGGGAAGGGCGGTGAGGGGGAGAGAGGTGGCCGGGAGGGGAGGCAGCGACGAGCCCGAGATCGCTGTTGTACACAATGAGTGAAGGATGCTAGTGAGAACATACTAGATGTGATTGTCTCCTACGAAAAGCTCCTGCTAGCTGGTAGATGGGCTCGGTGGGGGTGTTCGGCTGTGATCGGGCGATTAGAGATCCGATGAGACGGAGTCGATGACGAGGGACTGAGGGAAGACAGGCCAAGCGGGCATAGCAGGGAAACAGACAAGGGGCGGGGAAGAAGAGGCGGGTCGACGTCGACATGGTGGTCGGGAGGAAGCATCGTCGGAAGATCCCGAGGACCAGATAAGACAACAGATCTACGCCCCGAAGACGCCGAAACTTGTCCTGTAACTTTAAGTATATCGCTTGCTGCCCAGCCCTGTGAGTAGAGTTCGGCTCGGCTCAATATCCGAACCCAACTCATCCGTACCATCACCCACTCAATACCACCACCATATCACCCGCACCAGAACCGTACCCCCACTCGGAGCCCTCTTCTCCGTGCCTACGTCCTCCTACTCGCACGCGCACGCGCACTCGTTCTCCCCGTCTCCTACCCCGTATCCGTTCACGTCATGACCCTTCGGACCTTCGTGCTATTGCCACCCCCGACGACGAACCTACGCGTTATCAAATGGTATGTTCATATGTAACTAGCGATAATGAATTCATTTTCCGGTCTCCTGGACTGAGAGTACGAGAAATGATATTTTGCTGCCGCCGCCGCCGACGACGACGATGACGAGGACGGCAACAGGGGCAGAGGCAGAGGCTATTTTTTGTCGTGGTAAATTTTATTTCAACGTGACGTAAGTACATACACCCTTCTCTTCTCCTACCATCATCGTTCTCTTCGTCTCGTCAATTCTCACTCAATTCTGTCGCAGACATCTCTCTTCCTCCCCGCTGACCTCTCTATCACGACTCGGACCATATTCTCGTTGGATCGCAGTGCCTCAATCTCAATCTCAACCTCCCCACTCCGCGCATAACCAGGCCACCACACTTCAATCACGCACCATGGCCATTCTCGGAGGGTCTTGGGTCATTTCGGACGAAATACATGGGACAGGCGTGCTAGACGAAGTAGCGATGTCGTGGGTGGTGAGTTCGAAGTCGAGAAGGATGGATGCTCACCTGTTTACACAGGGTTCTCTCAGCTGACGTGAGCTATCTTCCTCTATACCTCCGGGAGCTTCGAGAATAAGAAATGAGCTCGACGTGAACGGAAGATAGCACCCAACTCACCGAGTCGCGATAGCCCATCCCTCCGTACGCGTGTAAGAGAGCAAGTTCCACGCAGTCTTCGCCTTCAAGTTGATCGCGCCCATCGATCATCGATGGTCAAGGGGTAATCCAGCGGCGATCCTGGGAGCGGGCGAACCCCTGTTGGGTATGGGAGGCGGGTGCGAAAGGCCGTTGGTGTCTTGCGGTTGCCACGGCTGCGCGTGCGTACCTCGCCTTTGCAGCTTTTCTTGCCCCTCTATCCGCACCTAGTCAGAGATATGGACGTTGATATCATCTTCAGGACACAGCACGAAGGCATGCACGTTACTACTGACGGAGAATTTAAGTCGTCGAGAACGCGTGTACACGTCCTCGGGGAATACTCTCGTTGAAAAGATAGAAAGTGTTTCTTACCTCTCGTTTCTGGGGTGTAAGGCATACTGCGACGTGAACATGGGTTAGATCCACCGTGAAAAGAAGACATCAACTCACCAGGGTCGAGGGCAGCGCTAGGCGGAGGCGGAGGCGTCAAGTCGATATCGATGTTGGTCGGGCTCGCAACTGCGAGATGAGCTGCACACGCTGCGAGGTAAATTTCCGCGTTGTCTGCCTCCGCGGCCAGGTTCTTTTGATTGACTCTGTTCTAGTGTTTCTAGCCCGCGACTACGGTAGTCGGAAGAAGAGGCGACGACAGGTTCTGGGCGCTTACACTAGGCTGTAAGTCGATCTTTTCGCCAGACGACACGCTAGCGCTTGAGAAGCAGCACATTCAAGAAGGCATATATCCTCATGCGACGTCGACCGTCGTCGAGGGCAGCTGCGGCTCATCATCCGATTCGGACGACGAGGGCGGCGAGATGAGCCGGCAATGATATTGACTAGGGTAAGTGAGTCTCTATCGTGAACCATGCCCACGAACATGTGCTTACTGTGCTTTCGTAGCCCTCATTGGAGCTGGTAGATACGAGCTGACTGATGCTATGCGAAATAATGAGCTGGAAATTCCATTGAGTCTGTCTCTTCGTCGTTTATGTAGACATATGGGTGCTTACCTATCTTCGTTTTGTTGCTGCTTCGTGGCGGGCCATGACGATACACAGGGCGACGCCAGTGACCTGAGAGAGGATAGAAGTCGAGGAGGCAGCACAGATTCGAAGGCGGGCCGGAACGAGCTGGACAAAATGTAAGTAATTTCTTCGTGTTGCTCTGAGGCTGTCCACTCATTTGTTGCAGCTTCCAACTCTGGACACAACGACAGTGATGAAGGTCTTACTGGCTTACCGCGGCATTCTAGGACGAACGCCAACGGCGAGTACAAGAGAGACGCAAGTGCTTACCCCAAATCTCATTAGACACGATGACGATCCCGTGGCGGTTCGCTGGCGAGATAATACCCTAGACGGGTTTAACGTTTGTGCAGGAGGCGAAGAAGTTACTCACCGCTCGTTCGCAACGAGAACGTTGTTGGGAAAGTTGTGCATCAGCTCAGGCAGCGGATGGATACACGAGCATGAATACTCGCCGATGGCGGCCGCTAAGACAAACTGCAACGAGGACGGAGTCCGCCTGGAATCGGAGGACATCGGAGATACTCACTTCTTGCAGAAGGGAATAGAGAGTGGTAATGGAAGACGCAGTCGAAGACGGCAAAAGTTGAGGGGGAAAGAAATTGAAAGGTGAGTCCACGTTTTGGGATAGGCACTAGACTTGTTCACTTCGTTATCCGGCGGCCTTTCGCCTTGACGAAGGGCAACCTGAGGCTCGCCCGTACGAGTTGGCGTTTCTTATATAGAGTAGAACACAATTTCTTATGGATTTCGTGTATGCTAATTTCTTGCCAATGCGATATCGTTCGCTCACTTACTTTCCCTGCTGCGTGTTCGTCAACCCAAGATTGGGGGAAAGGCTAATTCCCCTTGCCTACTATGCGCATGAAACATGCCGGAGAGAGCAACGAGATCTCGACTGGGACTTTACACCCGCAATGAGAAAATTCAAATAGAAATACTTAGAGGCACGACAGTGGTGGGTCAGACCAAATGTTCTCGATATGCAGAGTGTAGTATTTTCGCAATCGTGATCTCGTCGTCGGCGCACTAGGATTGAAAGATAGGGAGAACTAGAAGAAAATCCCGATGAAAAGGGAAAAAAGGGCGGGAGGAATCAGGTTACACCACGAAACGCCAACACACAAGCTGAATCTGACCTCCAAGTCTGGCATCGTTCGTCAAATATACTTTCCTTTGAAGAAAATTCGCCGTTTTCGAGTGCCTCATGGCCCGAGAGAGATACTTATTAATCAGCTCTACACAAATCCCTGGGCAACTTATCCTTCGAGATAATGCCTGAAGTAGGGCAAAAGTTGCACTCGTTAAAGGAAGAATAAGTAATTGACGATTTGACAGGACGGTAGAATGCACTACTGCCAGTGGAGGGTGTTTATGGAGGGCAGCGTATGCGCTCGACGTGATCGATCCTCGGCGACGCTCAGGATGGTCAACGAGCCATCAGCAAAAATGGTAACGCAGTAATTAGCGCCATTTTTGCAGACGAGTCGAGTGGAATTTCCTGAGACCGTCCTGAGCAGAGTCGTGCAGGATCAATATGACGATGTGTTGTTGTACAAAGCTAGAAGATGCAGAGGTGACATCCGGGGTGAACGGTAGGAAGAAGGTACTGTGGCTTATTATACACCAAACGCGCAAGAGAGACTCGCGATGCAGTAGCAGAAGCTGACGTGGTCTGAATCCTTGTCCCTGCGCGAAGAATGGCCCAGATCCCTTCTTCGTTCGTCCGTAACCTCGGAAGATGTCACCGTGGCAGGAGACGATCGTATTTTGAAGTTAGACCCCGTAGGATATCCCAGAAACGAGCTACAACAGGTACAGATATGAGATGAACGCCGATAGAGGACGCCTGATATAAGGAAACGATGGATCGCGGACGACGAGAAAGCTTGCCAGGAGGCCCCTTTCCGAAAGAGGAGCGATGGAGGCTTTCGACGTCGAACTCTACACGCTGGGAGACCGCAAAGGCACAATGAACAATGGACTATCGATTTGTCCCCTGCGTGAGCTTGTCCAAATTCCATCGCTCCTGCTTCGCACGAAGGGGTAAGGAACGCATTCGAAGGGCTGTGATGAGACCAGAAGAGACAAGACTAATCCTCGAGATAATGTGTTGGCGAAAGGACAGGCGAGGAAAGACGAAGAAAGAGAGCGAGAGACGGCTGGGTTCGCGAACACGCCTCGCTTTGGGGAGCGGCTTTGGTCTTGCGCGGAGATGAGAGGCTTCCGAAAAAAACCATTCAAGGAAACTTCGCATAGCACTAGAGATGGGCGTAGACAGCCGACAAACCCGTGATGCGCGAAGATAGGCTGGCAAATCGGAAACCCCTCATCTTTCGAGAGGCGACGCTCGAGGTAGATGGACCACTTGACGATCAATTCGTATAGATCAAGGGAAAGGTGATCTTAGTGGTGGTAAGAGAGTACTTTGAAAGTGCCATGACCATACCAGAGGGGAGATACTACCAGACTGAACGAGTAGATGCAGGAACAGAGTTTTACGAATGAGAGAAGACGAGGAGGCGGCGGGTCGACGAAACTGGGAATGTCGAACGACGCCGATCTTCCGCGTACAGCAGATAAGGAGCTCCTTTATTCCACGTCCGACAGATCGTGCAACGATGGACAGGTAATTACGCACATTAACGTAGATTCACCATCGACGCCCGAGAACAGCGTGATAAAGTGAGCTCGTCGTATTGCGCACGCTAGAAAGGCGAGAGGAGGCGATGAGTTCGAGACTGGTTCGTCGATCAGGAGAGGGCAGACTGAGGGATCTAAGATTGTTCGCATACGAAATGCTCCTCTGACACACAAATTGAGAAAATCGGACTTCCTGGGCTGATCGTGCAAGGTCTGAGCGATGTCCTGCGTCGCGGATTGGAGAAAGATAGAAAGAGGGAATAACAGTCTTAGTGCTGCGGGGTCGATGGGGAGGCAAGCGAGGTGAAATGAATCCGGGAAGACGAGGGTACACAGAGAACGTGCCGTGGCCAGACGGGAAGAGGGGGGATAGAAGGAGAATTGGTGGGACGTAGTGGTAGAAGGGAGAGATAGGAACGACCTGGGAACAAAGGCACGTCGGAAGATCCCGAGGATGAGATAAGACAACGGATCTACGCCCCGAAGACGCCGAAACTAAGTCGGGCTCTCGCCTAGAGTCGAGAGAGCAACGGTCCGCTTATAAGTGATCGGACCCAGCTCTCTACGTCTGAAACGAGTCGGAGCGAATTATCAACAGCAAGACACGGTTGTAATGCGTCACGGTATTGTGTATTTATTATCGGTTTCCTGATCTTTTCCTTATCTTGTGGTAGAAGCTGCCGTTGAGGATCAAACGATAGTAAGTACCCAAGTAGAAGAAGAAATCGGTAAAAATAAAAGAAAACGTGGGAACACATAGGACGAAACGCCATAGCTAAAGCCGACGACCTCTGAGTCTGGCATCGTTACTTGTTTCCTTGGTTGAGGAGCCGGTAATTTTATTGCGATTTTCAGATTACTTGACGCAGGGTGTCTTGAAGGTGTCGAGGAGAAATTATGAAAAGAACATATACCCAACGTCTTTAGCCTACCTTCTCCCAACGCGTCGTTTGTTGCCCGTTGATTGTGCTGATTGTGGACACATGAGACTTGCAACGTCCACCAGAGGATTTCTACGGGGACAAACTTCATTGAACGTTCGATGGGAGCCAGGGCGCACTTGGATTATCGAACAGCCGGAGTCCGGTGTCTCTCTGATGTCTATCGCTGAAGGCGCATGTAATTAGTGAACGTGCGGCAAGAAGATATAGAAGCAAGACTCACCACAGGAATCGCAAGGTAATTTGCTCGCTCAGCGTACGACTCTGGAATAGAAATCTCTCGCGATACCTCCTGTGGCTCGTTTGAAAGAGGTTGCACTTGCTATTTAGGGTGAAAGAGGAGAACAGCTGCCATGCGCACATAGTAGCTCTAATCCGTGAAATCGTGTGCATAGTCCTAATTGAATGTATCCTAGTCGCCAGCGTCCAGATTCAGGAAGCCATGGACCAACAGGCCTAGCAGTGGAAAGACTCGAAGTGAGTAAATGAAAATATACGGAGTGCGAGAACGGCAAGCGATCGATCTTGATTCGGAGACGCTCAAGGCAATAGTGCTCAAGATGCCAGATTCGCGGGGAAAGACGAGGTGGCGCAATGAATGCCGCCGCCTTTCCCAACGAATTAAGTCAACATTTCTGGGACCGTCCTGAGCAGATAGGGGGTGAATCGATGCGATAATTTCTTGGACGATGGGACATGCGGAGGTGAGACCAAGAACGGACGGAAGGAAGAAGGCATCGAGTCACACGGTAAGCACAAGAGGGACTAGCGATGCAACAGAAGCTACCGCGATTCTTATCCCTGCGCGAAGCATGCCCTAGTTCCCTTCTTTGTTCGTCCGTAATGGAAGGTGGCAACCGGGAGGGAGAGGGTCGCGACTTGAAGTGAAATTGCGTTGGATAATAATCGCGAGATTATGGGCACGACGAGGAGTGATAATGGACAATAACACGAATCAGAAAAGGTCTATTTAGATATAGATTCGAGCGGACGACGAAGAAGCTCGTGAGGATGTCCCTTTCTCTAGAAGAGGAGCGACAGAGATAGCAGCAAGCCTGGCCGGAGGACAAAGAAAAACCTAGTGGCTTATCAGTCGATCGCCTGCGTGAGCTGTTGCAAACTCCATCGCTCCTACCCCGTCTCGATGGGTAAAGGATGCTTCTGCTCGACGAGGTGAAGATATAGGTGTCGAAGAGTGAAAAGAGAGGGTGATATCGACGAAACATATTGGGAAAAGATAGATAGGCGGAGGATGAGGAAGATTGCGAGGAAGTCACTGTCCGAAAGAGGAGTGATGAAGGTTAGAAAAGATTGCATTTTACACACTGGAGGACCCAAAGGAAAACACGGTGTTTCATCGTTTCATCTTCTGCATGAATGATTCCAGGCTCCATCGCTCCTGCTTCGTTCAGAGCTTTCCGCTCTACAGTCTAGATAGTACGTTGGTGCGATATGTGCATCGAAGGATGAAGATAGAGAAGGTGAGGTTTTCACACATACATCGTCGAAACGGGGAATGGAAGCTTGAACAGTGAAGAGCGAGCTTGGTCTCTTGGGTAGATGAGGTGCTTCTACTTTAAGGAAGACATATCTCGAAGATCGCACAGAACCGGACATGGGCGTAGATGGCGCCAACAGACCTTTGACGTGCGAGGATACACCGGCCAAATTGGAAGTCCCTCATCTTTCGGACGGGTAACGCTCAAGGCATGCAGACAGACCAAGATTAAAGGACGAAAGGGGGTATCGAGTATGGGCATAACGTGCTAAGGGCATCTTCTGGAGTCGGGCATGTGCATGAAGCCTCATAGCCCATGACGTGGGCGGGCTCCATCAGAGTCCAGATACTCACACAGAGGGCGAGGAATCTGAGATATCTCGTTCTTTGAGGATGCGAATGGGCGAAACGGTGGTGAGAGAGCGAAGGAAAGTACGTCGAAAGTGCCAGGACCATACCAGAGGGGAGATACTGAGCAGAATGGACGGGTAGATGCTGGAGCAGAGCGTTGCGAAGGAGAGAAGACGAGGTCCAGGGCGGGTCGACGAAACTGGGAGTGTCGAACAGCATCGATCTTCCGCGCATAGTAGACGAGGAGCTCCATTTTACCATGCAGGATGTACATCGCGCGACGATGGACAGGTGATTACGCACATAGATGTAGGTTCACCACCGACGCCCGAGGACCGCATGGTCAAGGGAGCTCGTCGTATTAAGGATGCGGGAAGAGCGGTGAAGGAGGAAGAGCAAACGTTGTCAAATTTGATGAGAACTTGCGACAGCTTTCCCCTACAAAGAACCACTTCCGAACAGATGAATCAGAAGATCGGGCATGCTGGCCCGATTCTGCAGGATCAGAGCGATATCGTAGATCATGGATTGAAAGTAAACGGAAGAGTGGCGCATAGGAAAGGGGAGGCGAAGCCGATGACAAGGAACCGAGGGTAGATTGACTAAGCGGGCACAGAAGAGAAACAGGTAAGAGGCGGGCAGGAAGAGGCGGGTCGATGTAGTCCCAGAACAGAGAGATAGGGACGACATGGTAGTGGCGGTTGGAAGAAAGCGTCGTCGGAAGATCCCGAGCGCGATAAGACAACGGATCTATGCTCCGAAGAAGAGCAGCCTTTCCCAAACGAATCGAGCTTTCATGGGACGGCGACTTCCTGAGAGAGCCCGTTAAGGATTGATGCGATAACTTCTTGAACGGGGGAACATACGGAGGTGAGACTAAGAACCGGCGGAAGGAAGAAGGTATCGGCGATTGGGGATATCATTATAGCACAAGAGGAATTGGCGATGTAGCAGAATGAGACGTACCAATGTCGAAATGAAATCGTGTAGACAATCATCGTGGAATTGTGGTCCCGATGGGGATGTCCCTTTCTCTAGAAGAGGAGAAATCAGAAACTTCCGCTAATCAAGGACGAGATAAGACCACGGATATATTTACTCATGCTCCGAAATCTCCCAAACGAATCGAGCTTTCCTGAGGGAGCATATTGGACGAGGGAACATGCGGAGGTGAGACCAAGAGCGGACGGAAGGAAGAAGGTATTAACTATCAACCATCCGTCAGCGCAAGAGGGACTGGCGATGCAACAGAAGCAACGGCGGTCCGCCTCCTGGCGCAAAGATGCCCAGCGCAGATACCTTCTTCGCTCGTTCGCATTGGATATGTCGCCAGCACGGCAGAGAGCTGGGACTCGAAGTGAAATCGCGTAGGATACCGCGAGATTATGGATATGCCCCGTGTATATGAGGAGGGCTACCTAGCGAAAGTGCGGCGGTATCGACGAAACATATCGTCGAAAGACAGACGACGGACGACGACGAATCCCTTTCCCTAGAAAAGGAGCGACGAACAGACTTCGCATATACGCGCCGGAGGGTCGAAGAAGCACAGTGGATTATCGACCCATCGCCTGCGTGAAATGTTCCACCGCTGCATCGCTCCTACTTCGCCTGGGAAAGTGGGATCGAGAGCAGAAATATTGGGTCAGAAATTCGTCCGCATCCGGACTTCGAAGGATGGACTGAATGAGAAAAAGAATAGAGGACTGACCCTCTGCGCACACATCGATGAACTGGGAATGGTCGATCTTCCGTGAAGAGTAGACGAGGAGCTCCGATTCCCTACCTAGACAAGATCGTGCGCCGATAGACAGGGGACTACGTGCATAGATGTAGATCCACCACCGGTGCCAGAGAACGACATGGTCAAGGGAGCTCGTCGTATCAAAGATGCGGGAAGGGCGGTGAGGGAGAGGAGGTGGCGATGGATGTGATAAGAACTCACGATAGCTTTTCTCCCACCAAGAAGCTCCTCCGAACAGATGACTCAGAAGATCGGGCGTGCTGGCTTGATTCTGCTGGGCCTGAGTGAGATGCTGGGTCCTCGATTGAAGCGAGACGGAAGCCCCGGGGATATAGGTGTGTGCGAAAGGAGCCTGCAAAGCGGATCACGAGAGAGCGAGGCTATGAAAATGGAGGGTACTACGGTGACAAGGAGGAGAGGACATGGGGGAGTTGAAAGAGGCGGGTCGATGCAGTTTCAGAACGGAGAGATAGGAACGAGGGTTATCATGGTCGGGAGTAAGCATCGTCGGAAGATCCCGAGGACGAGATAAGACGATTGATCTACGCTCCCAAGAGGCACAGATTCGGCCATTCAAGCCATTTGCTCACGTTGGAGAGAGCAACGAGATTCCAACCTGTAAATTCCTCGTTATCGAACCTGGGACTTTAAATTACACCCGCCATGAGCAAATTCAAAATAGAGATGCTTTAGAGACACGGCAGTGGTACGTCAGAGCAAGCCTTCTCGATATGTAGAGCGTATTATCGTGTTCTCGTCACAGATGCTGCCGTCGACGCACTGGGATTAAATGATGCTTAGGGAGTAGAAGAGAAGACCGGTCAGAAGGGAGAACAGGGAGGACTCAGGATATACCACGAAACGCAAAGCTAAAGCCCTCCTCCGATATGTATGTCCGTTTCATTCGTCAGAATCATGACTTGTATCCTTGGTTGAGGGATCACTCTATAACTTCTTCAAACACCTTTTGTGGTTTCCGGGTCAATCTACGGCGGGAGAGGAATAATCGAGCTCACGATTTAAATGAATTGGTCAGACTTGGGTGCGAGCTTGGCTTTAGCGGGTTTGGGATCGATGCCTGAGGGAGTCGACCTCGGGGAGGGGACGAGAAAAATATGATTATTAATCAGTGCTTAGAGGAATTCAACGGACAAGTGGGTAAAGAGGAATGAGTCAGTGACGCAAGGCCGGAGGAACGGACCGCATCCGGACCCTAACCCAATCGCGGGAACGAGAGAAACAATACACCGTCGAGGCTCTTCTTCCTCCACACTCACTTCATGCACGCATCCTTCATCACTACGCTTATGCCACCCAACGCCGACACGAAGCATTTCAGTGACGACACTGTCGACACGCATCGATGGCCTCACCTCGCAAGGAAGAGAGGGCAGACGAGTAGGGGAGGGCAGCGAGGATACAATACACGCAACACAGGCAACACATATGTAACACCAAAAAGTACGACGACAACGCCAACGACGACGACGGAGACACGTGTAACTTCTGGTAGCACCAACGATTGCAGGACAATTCATCGACATCTGCGCACGATCCGTGCCCATTCGACCATCTCACGAGTATCATGGCCGCCGTCGCCCTAGCGACTTCGCCAGCTAGGTGCGTCTCGTTCTTCTCTTTAGGTGATGAGCCGAAATTTGCTGACGTGTGTGGCGCAGAGCCGTCTGAGAACTGGGACGACGACTTCGAGTTCGACGGTGGTGTCGGAGCACAGACGGAGGACTGGGACGCTGACGACAGGCCCGCGGATGAGCACCAGAGAGAAGCCCACTCCCCACCCGCCACAACATCATCGACACCTCTCGCCCTCGAGCACCGACGCGAACTCGAACACGCACCTCCCGCCCGACCTGCACCTGCACCTTGCGCAGCACGTTGAGCACCCGCCAGCAGAGACGGAGAACTGGGACGATTATTTCGAAGAGCGGCATAGTCCGCGGAAAACGCGGCACGACGAGCAGCACGGCTCGAAGCACCAGCAGCAAAGAGAAGGTGGGGACTCGGACGATTCGGGTGAGCTGGAATGCGAGTTTGGCGGGGGGTAGGGAGGACGAAGAAGAATAAGCAAGATGGTGACGGCCAAGTCGCGTTAGGCAGCGGTCGCGCGTTTGAGTCGGGAGGTGCCCCCGGTGCCAAGACGCCTGGGTCGGAACTGGAGTTCTCGTCTGCTGATGGACATGGACATGGACACGAGCAGCAGAAGAAGCAGCCGCCAGTACCAGCGACACACGCGAAGGGAGCCGCGCTGTTGAGCAGGATCAGGAGCGTGAAGAATTGGGGCAGGGGTATGAGGAGGAGAGAAGGGAGTACGGCGCCTGAGGTCGTTGTGGATGGTACGTTTCGTTCGTTTCCGTCGTCTTTTCTGGCTTGGTTTTCGCTGTTTTGTTAGTTTCGTGCGTTGGTTATGGTGTTTTGGTTACGGTGTTTTCTTTTCGCCGATTTCTCTCTTTCTCTTTTTTCTACTCGTTCATCTTCATCACAATTTGAATACCCTTTTTCTTCATTTTCGACTTGCATCTCTCCGAGTCTTGTTCGCATTCGTGTTTTTATTTCCAACTCATTTCTGCTCTTTTGATTTCATTTTCGTCCTTCCAATATTTGTACGCGTCGAGGGATGCTCGACGTTCGCTCGAACGTGTTTCTTTCCTTCCTCGTAGCCTCATTCGAGTTGCCCTTGCAATGGCGCCCGTTTCCTTCATCTGCCTTTCCCGTCTTGTTCCTCTCCTCATTTTCATTCCCTCCGTCACCCCCAGCACGTTCCATCCACCCCCTTCCAACGCCGAAAGGGTTTTCTCGTGTCTCTGGGTCTTGTTCTTGGATCGGAACTGTTCTTCGCGTTGGTTTCACACTTTCATGGCTCCTCCGGTTCTCGTCTCATCATTTCCTCCGTCCTTTCTTTATTCCGTTCTCCTTCATTGGCTTGTCTTTCATCTCGAGGCCGCGTCTTTTTCCTATGGGCCTTCCCTAGAGAAGGACACGATGGTGGCGTCGAGGCGAGATCAGAGTAGTCCCATGGGTAGTGGTGGTGCTGGAATCGCCGTTGTACACGACGGACGTTCGTGTTTAGCCGGCCGGGAAAGGACATCCATGTGAGTTTTCCCGTTGTATATGAGGAGTAACGGGCCTTACCTTTCGCCTCCTAGGACTTGGAGGCCGGAGGATGCACTAGGCGTCGAGGATGAGCAAAATGCACTAGAGTACCACGTCGTCGTCGAGGCCAGCGGCGTGTGCAGCCCGTCCGAAGTACACGTCTGGGGTGTCAAGACGAGCTGGCATTGATCCATGATGGATAAGGTAAGTTCCTGCGGCTGTCTATGTTCGTGAATGGGTGCTTACCGTGCTTTCCTAGTCTTTCATCATCGACACCGGCGGCGAAAGACAGGAAATCAAAAAACACAAGCCGTGTATGGCGGGGTACGCCAACACCATCATCTACGAAAGATTCGCGGCCCTTACCATCGTGACGCAGCCTCTCGAACGGCATCTCGACGTCGACGTGGTGGAGAATGAGTGTGGACGAGAGATGGGGGTAAATATCTTCATCGTCTATGCAGACTTACGAGTGCTTACTTATCCTTCCTAGAGTGTCTATTTCAGCGCGAGCTCGATGTGTTGATGCGCCCTACGTGGTTGGTTTTGAGCGACCGGAAGACAGTGTTAGGTATGCACATAAGCACATCGCCTAGGAACGCGAATGATCTCTGACCTTTCGTAGCTGATTCGTGTGGGGCTATGTCGTGCGCAGAGTGGCGTCGGCGAACGAGAGGAGATGCACGTGGGGGAGTTGACATCGTTGCAAGGGCGGGGCAGAGCGAGCTAGCATGAGACACGTTTTTCGTATCGTTTCAACACTGTTACCTTATCCGATTCTATATTCGTGTGGCCCCTAGTTAGGGTGGAAGCGGCCAGCAACGAAGACCGTGAAGGTATCGAGGACTTTCCATGCCAACGACTGCCCCGGAATGAACGCCAACATGAGTTGGAGCCCGAGCACGGTGACAGACTGCTCATTAGGCAAGAGGAATCAGCGGCGATGGGCTGGGCAGACTTTAGGTGAGTGTGCTACCTATGTATCGAGTCGAGGATATTACTTGCCGTTCGTCTTCAACGAGCACGTCATTTAGGAAGGCGGGCGTCAGTATACGCAGCGGACACGAAGGAGCGGACATTCATCGGCGACGGTCCACGAGGTTAGGCTGCGACGACCGCGAAGTCCGAAAAAAACTGGAAAGGACGTTGGAGATGCTCTTGCCTAGTAGATGGGCTTAGAGAGTGGCTACGGAGGGCATGGTTGGAGGACCGGAAGAATCGAGGTCGGAATCAGGGAAAGATGACGAAAAGCGAAAGGTAAGTCCGACTTTCGGGACGGGGGTAGGGGTCACGGCTCAAAGCCCTCCCACTACGTTTATCTGGGTCGTCCCACTTCCTTTTACTTGACGATGTGAACTGGACGCCAATATGCAGGCAGACCTGTGGCTCGTCGGGACTTGCTGTGGTTCCGTAAGTAGACTATGATTTTCAGTGTATTTCGCGTATTACTGCTAATACAAGTTTGTTTACTCTCCTCGTCCTGCTGTGTATCCTAGTTCGAGTTCAAGGCTAATCTCCGTTAGGCAGCGTACATGGAAAAAGCATCCAGGCCCCCAAACGGCATCGTAGAATCCCACGCATCCCAATTTTCGAGTGCCCTCGTTGAACGGCACTCTGGATACGAGTTTGCCCCAACTTATCTTCTACAAAAGGTCAGCACGAGGTCATCTCAATACTCAGAAACGCGCCCCGAGAATAACACTCGGAACTCTTCCAACACCCGGTGAGCGGCTCTTGTCCAGTGTCGTGGCAACCAGTAAGTTCTTTCTATTATTTCCAAGATCGGTGTAAGCTCATGAACGACATGATTCGGCGCAAACTCGTTGGGAAAGAGTACATGTTCTCGAGTCATTCGACTTCGACCGTCAAATAATCCGGGCTTTCAGGTTGGTCTCTCCGACGAGTATGCGCATGTCTAATATGCTTTATTCCACTATCACTGTGCATTGCTCATTTTCCGAGCACATAGGCGCTGTGGTTGAGCACCGAACTTCCCGAAACGTGTGCGCCACACAAGTTCGTCGCGGCTCGTTTAGGAAATCTCCGCCCCCTTTCAACAATCGTTCATTGACTCGGCGTAGAAATTGAATCGGTAAAGTATATGTAATTCAAGGCAGAGACGTACGGGTATGTGTATTCTGTGACGGAAACCGTAAGAAGCCCTGAAGGTAGCCCGATTCGAGTCTCTCGCGGTAGGGTAATGTCAATACTTGAATCACGGTCGGAATTCGGCCCTCTTCCCCTACTATGTGACTATATATCTTTGTAAACGAAGAATTGAGTTGTACTGAAGATGAATTTAAAGGATAATTCATGGAGAGTGCATCGGTGATGACGAAATGCCCAATCCAGCCTCGGATCGATATTCAACGTTCAACTCGCGGAGGCTATACGGACACAACACCGTATGTTCGTAGTTCGTGTGTACTTGAGTGATATTGGGGGTTAAACAAGCGAGATACAAGGACAATACCTCCGTATTGACCCGTGGGGAGCCTTCGAGTTTGAGATCTGGCACCAGCGTGTGCTTGCTTTTGACGATCTTTCTAACTTCGACCTATCTTATCTATCTGCTGGAAAGAAGCGTAGAGTTGATGCATTCCTTTCGCGTAGGATGGGTCAAGGGCCGTTAGTGTTATCTCTCATCTCAAGCTCCGGAAAGAACGAATGAGAATCAGAGAAGTAAGTACATCAAGGAAGTCGTCAAGGAGAAAACAGGATTTCCACCAAGTTGCACGACCCGTCGGGGTATCTCGACTGTGTGCTTAGTACCCATTGAAGTCTTTCTACGGCGGTCAAAGGAAAGGGATCCCTCCTAGTAGGGTATTACGTATTATGCGTCTAGTTCGTTCGTGCTCGAACTTCAATGACCCGGTCATTCTTCGAAGTCCAACTCATCAAGAAAACATATATATTACGATAGCGATGCGAATGAAAACAATAACTCACGAATCAAATCTCCGTACAGATGAATCGCACAAGATCGTGCTATGTACCAGTACTACTCTCAAGAAAAAGTCCGATTATTCCCTACCTACCCCGCCTGGCCCTTCCCCTCCGCCCCCCCTTCGCTATCTCTCTGCATCTCCGTTCATACCCATACCCATACCCACACCCACAACCCCTCCTCCACCGATTCCACCCCCATACACATCCACCAACCCCCTCAACTCGGCCAAACACTCCAAGATCTTCGCCTGCACTTCCCGTGCGTTCTCGAGCAACGGCCGAATGTTCTCCGGTGTCATCGCAAGTTTCGGGTCGGGCAGAGGCGCAGACATTGACATGGACGCGGTGAGGTGTGGAGGCATCGAGCGGACCGATCCCGTTTTCGCGTTGGCGTGTGGGTGGGTGGGGGCGGTGCCCTTGGAGGAGGAAGGACGAGAAGAAGGACGAGAGGGGCTCGCCCCAGTGCGAGATAGGCGTGCTTGGGACTTCGCAGCCCTGCTCGTACTGGTGCTGGTGACGGAGACGGGTGAGGTAGCGCCGTGTGGACTGCCCGTATCAGCCTGCTCCTCGACGTTCGAGAGTCGAGTCGTCCGCGGCGGGGGTGGATTTGGGGACGGCTGCTGCTGCTGCACTTGCTGTTGAGGGTGGTTCAACGACGACTGCGACGCGCTAAACGACCGTTTCTGCACGAGCGAATGCGAGTGTCTCGTCGTCGCAGAGGCCGAATTGGGCGGGGACGGCAACGAGCTCGAGCCTGACGGAGTCAACAGCGGCAGCGGCGGGGGTGGGTCGAACGAATCATGCTGCAAATACGGGCTGCGTCCCTTCCTCCTGCTCCCCCCTCGCACCGTCGCATGCGCACTTCCATCAGTAGCCACCCCGATCCCCAACGCACGCGCCGCAGCGTCCAAGTCCGACGCCGAGTCCATACGGTCCCAGTCCTCCTCGCCCGTGCTGCTGCTATCCTCCGCGCTCGGGTGGTCGCTGCGCGGGGGCATGGACGAGCTAGTGCTCGAGGGTAGGGAAGAGGATATGGGTGCGGGCGGGTCGTCAATGAACGTGCTCGTGGGCCGGTTCTTGGTGCCTCCTAGGCGGAAGATGGAGGCAAGAGATGGACGGCGCGGGGATGGTTTGGGCGCGGTGTAGGAGGATGGGGCGTACCCATATGGCGACGGCGCACGCATCTCGCGCTCTCGTTCCCTGTCCCTTTCGCGCATCGACTCGGGGTCCGTGCTCGTCTTCGCCCTACGTCTCTGCTGTGGGTGTTGCTGTTGCTGGTGGCTTGGGATCCGTGGATGCGCGTACCGATGATGGCCCATGCTCGACTCGGTGCTGAGCGACGTCGTCGAATGCATCGGCATGGGTAGCGAACCTGGCACGGGCAGCGCTGGTGTGCCAGACTCTGCATGGCTCCTCTTCAATGCCCGCAGCATGTCCCTTATCCCACTCATACCCAACCTCCCACCCCGCCTCTTCTTCTCCATCGACGACCTCCTTCCTTCTCCCTCTCCCTCTCCCTCCTCCCTCTCCTTCTCATGCCGCCCATACACGCCCGCACTCTCCTCCGACGGCAGCGTAATCGTGCTATTCCGCGGATCCTGCCCGCCCCACCTCCATTCCCTATTCACCGCCGCCGTCGTCATCGTCGTCGAGAGGCTCTCCTCCGGTATAGCACGCTCGAGCTGCATCTGCATCATCTCCTCAGCGGAGACAGAGACGGTTGCGCTCCCGTTGTTGAGCATCTCGCGCAGGAGCACCAGCTGGCGCTGAGATAAATCATGCCGGCCCGTCGAGGCGCGCCAGGAGTTGGTGGGCGGGCTGGCGAGGGGTGGACTGTGCGGATGAGTTTGTGTTTGTGGGTGCGGATGCGGGTGGGTGTGGGTAGGAGAGGAAGAGGTGGACGGGTCAGAAGCGGAAGGAGGATGGAACGCCGACCCAGGAAGGCTGTTCGAAGGCCCGAGCGTACCAGGCGCAGCGTGCAGAGGCTTCGACTCGTCGCCCGCGAGCGTAATCGCACGTTCTCTGCTCCTCTTCGTGCCCATGGGGTCGAGAGCAGCTACCACGGGCGCCGACGTGCTCGTACTCGGTCCAGCTGCACTCGCACTCGTACTCGCACCACTCTCTCCTCCGCTTCCAGCCCCACCCAACTCGATAAGCAAGTCCGCACACTCCCACGTAATCCGGTACTTCGAGTTGATGCTCCAGAACGCAGAGGCCATCTCCTTGTATGCAAGGTGCTCCTTCGACGGTTCGTCCCCCCTCTCCTTCGGCTGCTGTTGCTCGTCTTTGGGCGGTAGGCTGCCGTTTGTGTTCGATCTGCCTCTAGTTTTCGGTCTGCCGATGTGGAGCGCGGAGAAGAAGCCAGGCGAGGTCGTTTTCGCATAGTCTTTCGACGCTGGAGGAGGTGCGGGTGCGGGTGTGGACGGAGGTTGACGTTGTTGTTGCTGTTGATGGAGGTGGTGGGCTTGGGTGTCGAGCATGGATTGGATCTCCGATGCGAGGGTGCAGTACGCTTGTTGGAGCTCCTTGATTTCTGGAGGGTGGTAAAGAGAAATCGTATCAGCGTCGTCAATCAACCACGAAATAGAAAAGAATAGAAAGAAAACAACAACGAAACAAATTCGCCGTCGAACGTGGTTCGAAACCGAATAAAAAGAAAGAGGATGAAGGAAAGATTTAAAAAGATGACGCAAAAATGAAATACGATAATACGAAAATAAATCGAACGAGAAATAAGAGGAGACCACTCACGTCCAACACTCCCCGCAAACTCCCTAACCATACCCAAATCCCTCCTCAGCCCAACCTGCGCCTGGCTAATACGCGCTGGGATCTTCAGGTCGCCCAACGAATTTCTCCGTGCGCCTTTGTCCTTCCCTACCCCTCCGTTTGGCCCATCTACCCCTCCTCCCTTACCACCACCACCACCTACACAGCCCGAACCCCCTTCGCCCACACCCGCAGAGGAAGAAAGGACTCCAGCGGCACCCGTCCGACCCAAAGACGCACTCTGCTGCGGGGACCTGTTCGACGGCGCGAGCGTCAGCTTCTTCGCCACCCCCGCCGCGGCAGATGCCACTCCCAAGTTCGTACTCAAATTCACGTTGGGAGAGGTACTGCTGAGAGGCGGCGACCGCGGCGAGTTCGTAGGCGTGACGAACACGGACGAGCCGGAGACTGAACCGGAAGGCGAGCGTGGCGAGAGAGATAGACCGAGGCCGAGGGTGTCTAGGTGCGTGTGGTGTGACGAGGAAGAGGAGGAGGTTGGGTGCGAAGACTCGTTGGCGTTGCGTGGAGGCGAGGGCGGCTGGAGCTCGATGGGTGGTAGGAGGGGAGGAGGTGGCTTTGAGGGTGTCTTCGGTATCGTACCACCTGCTGCTATCATCGTCGGTGCTGTTGTCGCTGTTGTAGGCATCGTCGCGTTCCCAGCTTGCATCCCGTCCCTCCTCGTCCTCCCGGCACCACTACTCGAGCTTTCTCGTTTGCGTTCTGCATCGACGCTCTTCCTCAACTCGCCCTCGAAATCAAAGTCCAAGTCGAGGCTCGGGCCTCTCCTTCCTCCTACCTTCCCATGGGCATTTGCACTGGCGCTGTCCAAGCTCCTCCTCCCGCTCTTCTCACTCCTCCCACCAACGCTCTTCTCGCTCCTCCCACTCCCACTTCGATTACTCCGCCCGCTCGTGCTCTTCCGCCTCAACTTCCTCGTACCGGGCGTCCTCTCTTCTCCTTGTCCAACACTACCCACACCACTCGCACCACTGGCCACCCTCCGACTCCAACTCGGGTTCCTCGACGGCCCCGCCGAGCTCGGTGCAGTATGTACCGTGCTCGCTGGACCCACGGACGTGCCTGTCCCGCTTGAAGAGGCGGCGGAGACAATGCGGTTTGTATTCGTACTGTTGTTGCTGACGTTTATGTTGTGGCTTACGTTCGCGTTGAGGTGGGTACCAGGCGGTTTCGAGCCAAGAGAAGGGGAGAACGGTGCCCCGAGCCTCGTCGGAAGGCTAGGAACATCAAGTGGATCGGGGGAGTCGTACGTTGAGCTCGAAGAAGGTAGCCGCAACGAAAGTTGACTCGACGTCGGGGGTAGAGGGGGCAGCGAATAAGGCAACGCCGCTGGTTGTTGCTGCGATTGCGAATGAGGAAGACCAGGCGTCGGTGCAGGTACGTTCGACACCCGCCCCATCCGCACCTTCTCCTTACTCGTCCTCGACGGCGTCTGTTGGTTCTTCTCGCCCACGTTCGGATTCGGATTTGCGTTCGCGTTCGCCCCCGCATTCGAGTTCGCACCAGACACAGACGACCCAAACGACGGAAACACGAGCTGCAAGCCCGGTATACCGCCCGATTTGGTCCTCTTATGCGTTTGTGCCAGTGCTTGTGGTGGTTCCTGCGCAAGTCCATGCGTCTGAGAGTGGGAGAGGTGGGAAGAAGCGTGTGCGGTGGAGTGGTGGTGGTGTGACGAAACGAGGCTCAGCCTCCGAACGGAACCCATGAACCCTCTCTTCCCTTCGGCCCCCTCCTTCTCCTGGCCTTGGCTTTGGTTCTTCGCCCTGTTGGACCGCGTCGACCGCGAGAGCTCGTCCACCTCGTCCTTCTCCTGTTCCTCCTCTCCATCTGTACCTTCCTTCGCGCCATCCTCCTCCTCTTGGCGTTGCAAATCCGCGTTCGACGACGAAGCCCGCTCCTGCTCCTCCCTCGCACGCGAATAACTCCGAAAGAGCCTCGAGAACGACTTGCGGCGGCTCCTGCTCTCCTCTCTCTCCCTCTCTCCCTTTCCCTCTACTCCTGCTGCCGCCGCACGTCCAAGTCCCAGCCCACCATACCTCCCTCTCGACCCGCTATCCCTCCCACTATTCCTCGCGCTTTCCTCCCCATCGCCATCCGCCCCACTCTCCGCCGTTCCGTTCCCACTACCACCACCACCACCTCCTTGCCCGTTTCCACCACCACCTCCACCGAGGAAACCACGCCGAAGTTGTACGAACCCCAAACTCTTCCTCTTCGCCAGCTTGTTCCCTTTGCTTGGGGTATTGGGCACAAACGTCGACGCCGGCCTCATGCCATGACCGGAGAGAGAAGGAAGATCAGGCGAGGGCGTATACCCGCGGATGCGCAGACTGGACGTTGACCGACCGGGGTTGATGCTTAGGTCGGAGGTGCTTAAGTTCTTGCTCGTGTTGACGTTGACGTTTGTGTGAGGCTGCGCGACGAACCCACCACCTCCGACCGAAAACCTGCCTCGTCCTCCTCTGCTCGTGGTAGACCCGGCTCGGGCGAGGTTCGTCGACGTATTGTTGGCCGATCCTGTTGCCGAACCATGACCTGACGCCGCGGACGAGCCGCCCCGCGCCCCGCCACCAGGGCGAGCACCGTCGCGCCCACCGCCGGAAGCTGAAGTTGAGGACCGAAAAAACCAGTTCGAGCTTGAGGCTGTAGGTTGGGTAGATTCGGGAGGAGAACGTGCACGCGAAGAGGAAGGATGAGAGGAGGCGGGTATGGACGACATGGACGAGCGCGGGCGGGGTGTACGTTGAGTTTCTTGGTCTTGGTCTGGGGAAAAGATGTTAGCGAGATACGAGATCCGAGGAGAGGAGAATGTAAATGGATGAAATGGATAATTTCGAGTCGAAAGAATTGTTTTCGTGTCGACGATGATGAATGAAATTGAGGCAAAAAAGAAGAGGCTACGACTCGAACAAGATAAGGAAAAAAATCGTAGTTGCGAAATGCGATACGAGAAGGACGAAGGGAACGATACACCAAACACGTAGCAGCCGTACGAGCACGACTAGACTTCGCACAGAAAGAGAAAGATCAAAAGATGGAAACACGAAGGTCGACACGCGCCAACATCCAACGAGCGGGGCAAAAACCCAACAGAAAATACCTTAAAACGAGGAATCGAAACAAGACGGCGGCGACCGCGGCGAAGCCACGAAGCGTCAAAGACGAGGACCCGAGACCGAAAATGAAACGGCAAGAGTCTAGAAATGGGATAGATTGTCCCGAAAGTTGAGATAAGAAGTGAAAATAACGAGAGAAACGAGCTTGAGAGGGGAAATCAGCGGGCACAGCCAGATGAAAAACGAACATGATTCGACTCGCTCCGCGGAGAAAGGAAGAAAGACGTTCAAACGGACATCGACGAGATGAGCAGACTCGTAAGTGAAAACATGAAAAAGCGAACGAAATAAAAACAAGGACACGGATAAGATGACTTTGAGGCTGAAGAAGAGTGAAACGAAAGAGACGAGGCCTCGAGATATGAGAGAGAGCACACGAAGGAGAGAGAAATAACGAAAGGATGCTGAGGAAAAGAACCGGAGGAGTCATGAAGGGGTGAAGCCAACACGAAGAACAATGCATATCCACGAACACACGACGAAATCCTTTCAGCGTTAGAAGGGGGTGGATAGAACGTGCTGGGGTTGACGAAAGGGATGAGAATAAGGAGAGGAACGGCAGGGAAACGCGGACAAAAGAAACGGGCACCAGGCAGATGAGATACGGGGGTGATTCGCGCGTGGACACGGAGGAAGAAAGAAACACGTTCAAACGAACGTCGAACGTATGTGAATGCGAGACGAACAGAGCCGAAAGTAAAACAAGAGAATGGCATTGAAATAAAAGAACGAACACGGAGAAGAGATAGAAATTTGAAGCTGAAGACGGAGTGCGTAATATGATGACCGAGTAGAAGAATAAAAAGGAGAGAAGTCGGAGAGAAGAACCCGCTATAACAAAGGTCCAAAGTGCAAGTTGGAAATACTCTCGTTCGAAAATGAGAATAGAAAAAGACGGACAGAAAACGTAGAAAACTAGCGAAGCAACGAAAACCAAGCCAAAAAAGAGACGCGAGAGAAACGAAACGTACCATTCGCAACGACCTCAGGCGCCGTACTCCCTCCTCTCCTCCTCATACCCCTCCCCCAGTTCTTCACGCTCCCAATCCGACTCAACAGCGCAGCTCCTTTCGTCGGCGTCGCAGGTATAGGCAGCGGCTTCTTCTGCTGGTCATGCCCATGTCCATCAGCGGATGATAGCTCCAGCTCCGAACCAGGCGTCTGCGAACGACTGGTAGTCGTCGCGCGCCTCGTATGCTCTATTCCCGCTCCAGCTCCCGCTCCGTCCTGTTGGCCGTCGTCCGAGAATGAATATCGTCCTGCCCCAAGTCTCTCGCGACTCGACGCCAAACTCGCCAGCTCGAACATACCCTCCCGCGGCCCTGGTGCAGGCCGACTCTTCTTCCTCAGCCTCCTCCGTTCACGCTCCTTATGTATCGGCGGCGAAGGTGGCAGCAGGGCAAAAGCACTGCTCGGCCGGAGATGTGTCGTTGACGAGAACGGATACGGGGTAGGCGATGGCGAGAACGAATGTGCATGCGAGTAGGAAGACGTAGGCACGGAAAAGACGGAGGCGGTGGGCGAGTGGGGGTACGGCTCGGGTGGTGGTGATATGGTGTTGAGCTGGTGGTGGTACGGGTGGGTGGCGTTCGGATAGTGCGTCGAGGTGGAAGATGTCGATGGTTGGGGAAGGAAGGAGAGCGGCAACGGATGGTGCTGGTGCTGTTGGGTAGACGTTGGCACTGGGGGGACCTGGTTTGCCTCCCGAGTCGAACTCAAACGAGCCACAGCCGCCCGACGCGACTTGGCCGTGACCGTCCGGTCCTCCTCGTCCTCCCGCCCCGCGCCTTTCAGCCCGAACTCGCGCTCCAGCTCGCCCGAATCGTCCGAGTCCCCGCCTGGTTCGTGCTGCGAGTCGTGCCGCGTCTTTCGCGGACTATGCCGCTCTTCGAAATCGTCGTCCCAGTTCTCTGTCTCTGCTGGCGGCGCGAGGTGCAAGTGCAGGTGGGGCGGGAGGTGCGTGTTTGAATTCGAGTGGGTGCTCGATTGCGAGCCCTGTCGCTGATGGTGTGGCGGGTGGAGAGCAGGCTTCGCTGTCTGGTGTCCATGTCCATGCGCGTCGTCGGCGTCCCAGTCCTCCAACATCGCGCTGCTCGCGACAGACATCTTCCGCCCGTCCTCCGTGCTGGCGCTCAACGCAAAGCTCGCGGCGAACGACGCAGAGGTCGAGACCGACGCAGATGCCGCGTGGCCGTTGCCATTCCTCTCCATTCCACCTTCTCCTGCCCCTCCACCTCCCCCTCCGCTGGCGTGTGCAGTCCCGTTGCCCCTCCTCCGTCTGCTGCTTCCTCCCCCTCCTGTGCTCCCGCCCCCTCCGTCGAACTCGAAGTCGTCGTCCCAGTTCTCAGAAGGCTCTGCGCCACACACGTCAGTAAATTTCAACTCATTACCGAAAGAAGAGGATGAGACGCACCTAGTTCGTGAGCTGGCAAAGAACCGAGTGCGACGGCAGTAGCCATGATGATCCTGGGGTGCCCGTGAAGGTTCTTCGTTCATGCACGTCGTAGTTCGGGTGTTCCGTCTTGAAGTGCTCCTCTGAGCGTGTTCGTCCGTGTCCTTCGTGTTGTATGTTGCGCAGTGCTCGCTACGCGTGTTTTCGTTATCGTCCTCGTCGTGGTTGGTTGTAAAGGTGGGTCTTACGTATTCCTTCGCGCTGTATCGTGGCGTCTTGACTAGTCTTCTCCGTATGCTTTTCTTAGTGGATGTCGGTAGATCGGCGTCGATAGTGTCGTCCGTCGTGCACAGAAAGCGTGAATGTCGTTCGTCGTGGTCGTAGAGTGGCTGATAGGTAGCAAGTAAGTTGGGTATATGCGTTTTGAAAGGTTGACGCGGACACATGGCTTTGTTTTCTCGTTCCCGCGCTTGGGTTAGGGTCCCGGGTGCGGTCCGACTATCCACATCTCTCTCTCATTTCTCCCTTCCCTTCCCTCCCTTTCCTCATCGTTGCCTTCATACACCTACCAACGGCTGTCGTATTCCTATTAATATACTTTTTGTAACACGGCCGTGTTACGTTTTGGGCCCAAAACGCCTCCGCGAGGTCCCCTGAGTGCCATTATCTCTGGTTGCCAGAAATAATGACGCGCACAGAGCTCCAGGGCCGTTATTATCTCTGGTGAACAGAGATAATGACCTGCCACCCCCTCCCAAGGCCATCCACCGGCCTGTAACACGCTGAAGGGGCTTGTCGACCCCCATTCTCAATGGCGGTCGCAGGATGTAAGACGCCCTAATGAGATGAAACACGCCCAGCCCGAAAGAAGACGCCCCCGCTGCCCTCCTGCCAATGAATACACAGGCCGTCATTATCTCTGTAGACTATAAATAATGACGACGGATGGCCAGGGACGAACACGCACACACTGACAGCTGACGCTCACCCACAGCCGCACTACCATGCATGGGGCGCAAGGCTGGCATCCATCTTGCAACACACAGCCATCCCCATCCACGACATTGGTTTGCAGAAGCGGCCGTCGTTCGTGCCTGTCGAGCGTCAACTGAGCCTGCTATTCTGGTGGGAACACGCACGAATCTCCACCTGCATGAGACGCCCACATGTGAAGCATCAGAGAGTGAGGTCAAACGCCTGTTTGAATTCCTTGGAGCACTCGGGAGACAATGACAAAAACCAGAGGCCGGTTATTTAATGCCTAATAATATAAATGGCCCAGTAGGGCCCTACTGGAGTCAATCTGTCATTTTTTCAGCAATAAATAGGAGACATGTCTCCTAATTATTGGTCAATAGGGTGTCAATCTGTCCTGAAAATTGACGAAGATGCAGATTTGTGCTGTCAATCTGTCATGCTGGAATAATTAAAGTCAGATAGGGTATTTTGGCAAGTCAATCTGTCATTCTGCAGTAATTAAGGACACTCTGTCTATATTGTTGGTGTCAGTCTGTGCAGGAAAATAATTTAGAAACATGTCCGTTAATTACTGACTGTCCAACAAGGTGTTGAAACGTTGTAGAAGGCTCTGTAATTAGTGAACATGTCTCTTAATTACTGACTGAGAAAAGGGTATTGATGCGCTATATTATATTTACAGTCAACGGGTCATGCTGGAATAAATCTTGTACTCTAGCTCTATTCCGTTGCCCGCGCTCGACCTGAATGGTCCCACGGTGCTGGCCGCCTGTTTCCGTGACCGTGACGCACTTTTCCGTCACGCGCGCCACACCCCTCGAGAGCGCCCGTCGAGGGCTATCCGTGTCACGTGGAAAAGTGAAAAACGGACGAAAACTGACCGAGCTGCGCGGGCCGCGAGGAATTGGCCCGAAATTTAAATCCCAGGAAATTCGAATATCTTGCGGGGCGCCCGCCAGCCTGCGCCCGCCCTGCCAGCTGCCCATCCGCACGTGCCTGCCCATCCGCGGGCGCTGCTCTTCTCTTTGCCCATCCGTGCACGTCACCTGGTCTGTGCGCGCTGGGGCGCCCGCGACAGCACCGCCACCTCCGTGCAATGCCCTGCACTGGTACGTGCCTGCCCTCCCCTCCCTGCTCGTCACTCGGTCCGTGCGCATGCCCTGCCCGTTTCCCGCCCGCCGGCCCTTCCTCGGACAATCTCACCCGCTGTGCTGTGCCCGCCTCGCCCCTTGCGCCACCCCTCTGTCCCGTCGAGCTCAGCCCCTCCCTCTGTGCTCGCTCCGTTCCGTCCCGTGCCACTCGCCCCTTTCCGCCCCGCCGTCTGCCCTGCCTGCCTGCCCTTTACGCCCACCAGCCCCACGGCCTTTGGTGCTTTCTGCCCGCCACGCCCCGTGTCTGCTGCCCTCCCCGCCCCTTGTGCAATGCCCTACGTCATCCCTCATCCCTGCTGCACCCCTCCCACACGCATACACCCACTACTCTCGGTCTGCCTGCCCGTCCCTCAAGCTCGTTCCGTTATGGGGTGTTTTTTGGACCATAGGGACTTTGCCCTAGGGCCCTAGGGCCATAGAGACAGTAGGGACATAGGGAGGAAGGCTGTTATTTAGGGTTAGGGTTAGGGTTAGGGTTAGGGTTAGGGTTAGGGTTAGGGTTAGGGTTAGGGTTAGGGTTAGGGTTAGGGTTGTCTGAACTCCA